TACTGCTGATAACGACTGTTGCACAAACTAGTTATCATTGAATGGAGCCCCATTTGAATGATCAAAACAGGAAAAATGTCGCACAAAGATTGCGTGCAATTGCCGTCATGTATTTCTCTCTTAACAGTGCATATCATGTCAATGTCATATCTTAGTCGCTTCTTTCTTTGCTCTACCCTTATTTTAATGGTTTTGGTATCCGGCTTAAAGCCATATATAGTGTTCTTAAATGCACATTTCTTCGCATATCTGTTCACTAATTGTTTTAGGTCAAATGTCGATCGAACCACCAACAGTCAGATATTGCTCCTGTTCGTCACCCTGATGATCATTTCGTTGGTTAGCGCCATTTCTGCGCAGATATGGTCTTCGAGCAATCAGTCGTTTTCATGGTACTTAGGTTTGCCAGGTGACGTATACTTTGTTCAGAAGAACCTGACGTCAGTTAATTAATTAATAAATTGTGTTAATCGTTTCAGAAATCAGCTCAACTCATTTCGGCTATAATTTCCTCACTTTCATTATTCTCTACAACAATCTAATTCCGATCAGTCTACAGGTGACGTTGGAAGTGGTGCGTTTCTTGCAGGCCCAGTTCATCAACTTGGTACGTCTGCGATAATTTACCTTTGCTCATCATGTATTCGTCTGGAGATATTGACGGTTTCCGTAAAATGTTACTATTTGATAATCTGCCTTGAGACTAGTTGGCATATGATTTTTATGGATTATCATCCACCTTATCCTATGTCCAAAATCTTAATTTACTTTCTCGGTAAAGGTAAACCTCATTTTAGCATCCTCAGGATAGACGCAGGTGATAGCGGGTTTCCGAGAACGAAGTCATGCAGTCCACCTATTAGCTATGCAGTCCACTATCTGTATTAGGGGATAAAAGACTGAATGTTTCGAGCATCATTATTTTAGACGTTTTATAAAGAATTCCACTTGGCCACGAGACAGCGATAACCCATAGGTGACATGCCCTTTTACTGGTATATGCCGTTATTCAACCTGAAATGTGTAAAGTTGAATTATGAAAGCAACTTCAACATACCACAATTTTATGGCTTATCAAACGGTCATAAACCTTTAGTATCAGTAGTATCTCAGGCAGTGAAAACAGTTGTGCATTCCATCCGAACTGAGTCGAAATGACTAATTCCCTTGTCAAGAACTACTGGAAATTCGACAGATATGGGCAGATATGTG